CATTTTAGAAATAGGCAGTTCTGGTAGATATAAGTATTCAGCGGCCAGCTCCATCTTCTGTGCTGTCAGTGCAAATCACTCGGGCTATTTATGTCTGCTAGAGGTAGCGATGGCCCTCGTTGGGAAGCTGTTGGAAATCCATTGGCGTTATTAGGAGAGCAGAAGCATTAAGCCTCAAGAGTTCACCTCTTTTTTCTTTTTTGTTAATACGGAAACTGCATTCGTGTCGTGATCTCCGAGGTTGTGTTGGAATATTGATGTTGGCTGGTGCTTCGTCCCCCGTGTCAAGGCTCTGGTCTCTGCTAGGATATTTTTTAGGATATTTTTAGGGACATGGTTTAGTGGTGGGGTGTCAGGGTTAGGTTAAAGGTTGGACTTGATGATCTTAAAGGTCTTTTCCAACCAAAGCGATTCTATGATTCTGTGATTCTGTGATTCTATGATTCTATGATATTCGTTATCATCCCAAAAAGCAGTATCTTCTTCAGGTAGACGCTCCAGCATGGCACATTGCAGGACCGATGGAAGAAGAGAGAGTACAGGGTTGGAAATGAGAGGTGGTTTCACTTGCCTGGCCCCTGGGCAGGTCACTTCAGCTCTTGTGCTTCTTATCTGTCTCCTCTCTCCTTTTTTTCTTCTGATTAGTCTCTTTGAGACTAACTAATCTCTGATGAGGAGATGCAGTGGTGCATTGGGGTGCTGGTAACAGGAGGGGCCAGGGACTGGCGCCGTATCCAGATCAGCAGGGTAAGAACCAAGGGAGCAAGAATGACGTGGATATGGAAGATCACCTTTGAGAAGCTCCAAACCTTTGGCCTCGCCAGTGGCTTGAGTTTAGCCCTGATTTTGCTGGACCCGGGGAGCTGCAGTCTGCATCATGGGCGCTTGCTTTGCTGCTAAACCTGGTGCACGTTGCAGCGTTGCTCATCGACACCACTGCTGCAGGTCCACAGGCTTGTGCACAAACCGCATGCAAGTCCAAGCACGAAGCCGCTGGTTGCAATGATAATATCCATAGTCATTGGCTTTGCACCACGACGCGGAGTTTCTTCAGAGCAGTGGGTCCGCACCATGCTGTGGTGTCTCTTTGGGATGAGGCTCCATCCGTGCGCATCCAGAGTGGATAAGAGGCCAACGCTCTTTGTGTTGATGCAACGCTTAGGTCTTGCTCCTGCCATGGTCAAATGTCTCCGAGCGAGCAGTGCGGTGGGGACACCAGCAGCATTTTATACTGTCCCTTAATAGATTTTTTTTTTGGTGGCTTGTGACAGCAGAGGAGCAATCGGTTTAGCAGAGGTCTGCATGGGAGAGCCCCGTATTAAGCCTGGAAACCACTCCCCCCCCACCCCCAGGCTGAACTAATTAGCTTGTGTTCATTACCATCCCGCCCTCCTTCGTCTGCCTCTGTTTGCTTTCCTAAGCCAGCAGAATATTAACATTTTTACAAGAAGCCAGTGTTTAGAAATCAGGTTTCCGGTGAAAGGGCCCAGAGCGCGGGCACAGGAGGCAGGGCTGCCCTTCACCCGCAGCCCAACCCTTGCCCTCGGCGGGGGACAATGTCCCCTGGTCTTGCCCTGGACCTAACGAGGCTTTCGAACTGAGTCATCCCCGTTATTTTTAGACCAAATGACATTTTTTTGGCTTGTCGGCCCTGGCAAGTTTTGCCGTAAAATAAACTACTTTTACAATAAAGAGAAACATTGAGTGTATTACATCGAGGGCTTAACCCAAGCCAAGGATTTCAGCTAAGGCTGCAATGTTGTCCTTAGTTCACCTCTGTAGGGCATATGGTCGCTCTTGCCAAGCTGCGGTCCTGCAGTGGAGCATCCCGGTGGGACAATCAACGTTACCTGCCATATCCCTGTTCATTTTGGCTTTTAATTCAGTTGCTGAGAGGAAAAATCAGGACCTGTCAGAGCAACACCACTTACGGAGACTCACTGTTTTGGTGAGAGCAATTTAAACCTTCAACGAGAAGGTTTAAACCCTGGTAAGCTTCTCCGAAACCCCAGAGAGCCCTTCTCGCCCAGAGCAGATGATGCAGTGCTTTCAGTTGTCCAATCTCTAAATTTTTCAATAGTTTGCTTTTTTTCCCTTTCCTAATATTTGCCTTGGCGTCGTTCCTTCTTGCAAACATGCCAGAGACGAAGGGGATGAACTCGGGTTCATGGTCCTGGCTAGCTTGCTGGCATCTTCTCAGGGTTTCTGATGTCGGTGGACGAGCTCTCGTGCCTGCGGCATCTATCGCCTGCACTAATATTGCTAAAATTATTTCAGGAACTGCATTTGCCTTAGCACAGGTGATGCAAGCATTAGAAATGCCCTCATGCTACCGAAAACCAGGCTTTTCCCCTGTAGCGCTGTATTAAGCCCAGATATTTCATTTATTTTGGAGTAGAGGTTTTCAGTGCTGAGCGCGGACCTGGGTCATTGGGGAGCCAAAATGTGTAACACGTCCCTGGACACTTCAGTTGTAGGAGATAACGAAGTTGGTAATGCTGGTTTTTGTAGAATAGCAGGGTGTAACCCATGCCAGTGTCTCACCACCCTCATTGGAAAGAATTCCTTCCTTATACCCAGTCTAAACCTACCCTGGTTTAGTTTGAAACCATCACCCCTTGTCCTGTCACAACAGGCCCAGCTAAAAAGATTGTCCCCATCTTTCCTATGGGCTCCCTTTAAGCCCTGCAAGGCCGCAATCAGGTCTGCCCGCAGCCTTCTCTTCTCCAGGCTGAACAACCCCAACTCTCCCAGCCTGTCCCCATAGGAGAGGGGCTGCAGCACTCAGCTCATTTTTGTAGCCCTCCTCTGACCCCACTCCAACAGGTCCCTGTCCTTTTGCTGGGGACTCCTGAGCTGGATGCAGGGCTCCAGGGGGGTCTCACCAGAGTGGAGCAGAGGGGCAGAATCCCCTCCCTCACCCCACTGGCCACGCTGCGGGGGGTGTAGCCCAGGGCACGGTTGGCTTTCTGGGTTTTAATCCAAACACTGGGGTCTGCAAGCAACCGGGGAGCGGAGGAGGTGCTCAGGGCCGTGTCCATCCCTCTACGCTGCTCTGAGGTCAGGAGGAGCTGGTCTGCAGACATGGTTTGGGACAGAGGGGACTTTCAAAAGCTGGTGGGACTTTAATCGTCTCCTATCTGAGCACGAGATGAGCCAACGCTGATGGCTGTTGATGAGCGTCCACCTTGTGCTGGGCTGGGCTTCGGGTGGGAGATGCTGGACCACTGAAGGTGTCCCACTGCACTTTCTGGCAGGCCGAGCAAAACTTGGGGGAACCTGGGCTGTGGGAGCTGGGGCTGTGCCTTCTAGGGTTCGTTTTATCACAATCCAGTAGTTTAATCCTTGTTAAAATTCCAGATTTTAGAAAGTAACAGAGGAAAGGAAGGGAATTAAGTTTAAGAATTGAGTCCTTTTACTCTCTAAACCTTCTTGTCCAGGATCCTATTGCTTTATTGCTCAGGGGTTGTATCTTCTCACAACACTTCCAAAAATTCTGAAAAGAATTTGGAAGGTGGCATTATCTAATAGGGAATTATTGTGGTTACTGAATGAAATATCGCTGAATAGCAAAGCAAGGGAAGCAATGTGCATGGCTGATTTCTTTCCTGGAGAAGCTCTGGCCCTTGGCTGAACGTGGTGTAGAGTGGTGGAACGAGGTTTTGACCCTGTCCTGTGGATGTGGTTAGTCCCATTTCGGCAGTCAGAGGGGGGCGGCTGGAGGAGCTGGGGGTGTTCATGCTATGATTCCATAAGCATCAGAAGGGGCTGCCCAGGGAAGGGGTCGAGTCCCCAGCCCTGGGGGGATTTAACAGCTGGGCAGAGGCGGTGCTGAGGGCCGGGGTTTGGGGGTGGGATGGCAGGGGTAGGGGAACGCTTGGGCTGGGGGAGCTTAAAGGGCTTCTCCAACCCAAACCATTCCATGATTCTATGATTTTATGATTCTATGACTGGCTGTGTTCTCAGCTTGGAGGGTGTCACGGTCTTTGGCCAAACCTCCTTAGCATCCTTCAAGGTGAAGTATCCAGAAAGAAGCATTAATTGGCTTTCTTGCCCTTATTGGGCTTACACAGTATTTTATTGATTTAAATAAAACATATAATTCATTGTTAAGGCGCATTAACACGTGGGATATTGCAGTGTTATGGTCCTCATGACTTCCGGGCCTTCTTCAGCTGCTTAGACCTCTCGTTTGCCTTAGCATGGATTAGTTTACGTAACATCCATCGAAATTATACCCTAAAAATACGGGTGACATGTCCGTGTGTTGGAGAGAGCTGGAACCCAGGAGATGCCCAACGCAGGGACCGGGCAAGGCTCGGCCGTGGTGGGAAGCTCTTTGCCAGGAGAAGGTTGGGGCTGGGAGGCCCATGAGTGGGAGGCAGGCTCGGCGAGAGGTGGGGAAGGGGTTTGTGGGAGGGTGGCGCATCCCGTTAAGGGATGAGTCAGTTTGCAGCTCTAATTAAAGCCCAGGCCATGTGCTGAGGGGAAAGGCGGG